AGGCATCGCAAGAGGAAGGGGGCACGAAAACTAGAAATAGTGCAGCCCCGAAAAGACCTATTCACAGTAGACGAATCCTGCAAGAAGCTCCCTACGAGCAAGGCAGACACCCTTCACAGCCTGGTGGCTAAAGTGTTATTCGCTACGAAGAGAGCCCGACCAGACAAAGGTACGGCAATATCGTTCCTTACGACTAGATTCAAGGAACCAGATAGGCACGTTTGGGATAAACTAGTCCACCCAATGCAGTACATTAGATGTACTAGAAAACTACCATTGGTTCTCAAAGCCGACGGAAATGGCATATTGAAATGGTATTTTGATGGTTCTTTCGGAGGCCATCCAAACATGAGGGGTCATACCGGAGGTGTTTTGACCATGGGCACCGGTTACCATTATCGACTTCGACGAAACAGAAGTTGAAAACGAGAAGCTCAACTGAGAGTGAACTCGTAGCAGTTGATGACCTGATGCCATCGATCCTTTGGACGAGACAGTTCCGTCGGGAGCAAGGCTATGTAGTTATAGAAACTATAGTCTATCAGGACAACAGGAGTGCCAATTCCTTCTAGAGAAGAACGGCAAAGCTTCTATTAGTAAACGAACGAAGCAAATCAACATTAGGTACTTCTTTGTGAGCGACAGAGTCGCAAAGAAGGAGAACAGTGTGGACTGGTGTCCAACTGATGATATGTTTGCGGACTTCTGGACGAATCCGAACCAAGGTCGACTGTTCAAACAGAACGTGGACAAGTTGATGGGTGTTGTGGAACACTCAGAGCCAGGGCACTCAGAAGGAGGGTCACGGTCGGACAAGAAGGTCCGTTCAAAGAAGGAGCGCTAAGCGCAGTAAGTAAGTAAGCATGGTCGACGACTAGGACAAGCTCGACGACCACAGGAGTGTGTTGGGATTCGCGATTAGGGATTCAACCCCTGTACCTCTGTACTAGAATTTCACAGTAGAAATACAGAGCCCACCCACTTTTTCAGTAGTATCTCAATAGCAACAGTAAACTAGAAGAGAGCTTAGAGCAACTAACAGTAGCTAGCCAATGCCACAAAGACACCTTAACCTTCTAATTCATAGGATGGCTCTTCCTGGGCCATATCGCAATTCCACTCAAACCAAGTAAAGGCACGCAACAAGTCCCTGCGAATTGTTTGTATTGTTGCTTTTCTATCCAGTTCAATTCATTCGTTTCCACTCTTTCAAATCCTTTCTATATTTGATCCATACTTGCCGATCCTTCTTTTTCACTCTGTCTCTCAATCGTTTCAAACAACAGAATCCCATGAGCATGTACCAGATTCCACAGCCAAAGATGAACCAGGCCGAAATCTGCATGAATAAGGATGCCCACGCCACATGGAATTGATCCGCATGAGCCGACACCATAGTCTTGACTCGCTCCGAGTAGGCTTCTTCCAAACAAATGAGCCCCAAGAAGGAATAGAGAAATCCCCTCGAAATAAACGTTTGCAAGATAGGTGAATTGCGGAGAAAGGGTATGGGGGCATTGGATTCCACCAAGAGGAATAGAATGCAGAATAGCGACACGTAGAATTTCAAGGCCAAATCAAAGTATCCTTGGCTCTTGAGAGGGGCAAAGAAGAGGGGTATCATTTGCGTCGCCAGCAATCCGAGAGAGGATATTCCCGTAATGGTCGATACGACACGGAAGTATTCCACACACCAGTTTCGTTTGGGCATGTGAGGTTTTGTGTCCAAGGTCAATGCGGTGTGGGTGTCATCTCCTGTAATCACGGAACTGTCGTCTTTGTCGTCGTCGTGAAAGGGTTCAGTGTTGTTGTATTCATCAAAAATACTCTTGGGCGGTACGTCCGTCTTCTTTTTCTTGGACTGCTTGCTTTTCTTCTTTTTGTTGCTGTTATCTCGAGTGGAACTGCTAGCTACCGAAGACGCCTCTTTGGTATTGCCGAGGGATCCATACTTGTTGTTCGAACCAGACTGGGCTTCTTCGTCATCATCATCATCAGCTACCATGGGAGTTGGGGTTTTCACTTCGCCTTCCAGAGGAATTGGACCAGAACCAAACAACAAGGGCTCTGATTCTGAGGCTTCTTCGGATAACACGGCCTTTCGGTGCAAGTGATCGTTTTTGCCTGATAGCCACGAAGGCTCCTCTTCTTCGTTCATTTTAACTAATTATAACAAGGAACCAGAGTTCACAGCCACTAACGGAAGGAGGGTCAGGAGGATCTACTAGCTAGCTTGGCTATGGGTAGCCGGAGGGAAAGATGTGACGAGCTATTTGAGAGTTGAGACTTGAAGGACCCTTCAGATGATGGACCCTTCAGCGATAGAAACAACCACAACGATCTTCTTCGAGAAATGGAATGGAATCTTCGTCATTGTGGCTTGTCACCGCTCGAGGTCAATTTGGGCCGTGCATAGTCTGCATCATACAGCCAACAGAGGTGCGAGGGGCTTCCCTTTTTACAAGGGACAGCCGATCCCGATGTTGCTTCCGCCGATGTTGGCCATTGGGGTTCTCGTTTGCTCAGTCTTGCTTCGTTGGCTTCGATTCGCTTCCAGTCGTCCTCCAACTCCAAGCCGCTCTCCGCCCTCTACTCCTACTGTACGGTACCTGGTACATGGACATCATGTATGTAGATGACACGGCGGCAATTCGCTAGGACGATCTAGGCACAACAACAAGGTACCAGGTACCGTGTCGGAACGAAGTGCTAGAGTTGGGGAGCAGTGTGGGATTGGTGCAAGCGGTTTCTAGCTCGACTGCACCTACCGGCACCCAGAGCTATTGGAACCCAAAAAGTGAACCTGAGCAGCCAGGTAGGATGTTGGGTATCTCGCAAAGGGGCACCATGGTCATCTTCCTTGGTTGGCTGCTCAGAGTTTTTAGTGGGTAGCTCTTGGATTGGCTCTAGCTAGGCGAAGTTCTTCCATCCAACTCAAGATCAGGGCTGGCTGAGAATTGTGTTATCTTATCAACGAGGCAAACGTGTGTCTCATGGCATCAGAGGAGCAAGGTGATCCCTTGCCAATCAAA